CCCTCCAGCTCACGGTGGCTTCAGCCACACGACTTTGGGCCAGAAGCTGCTCCTTGATGGACACAACCCCTCCAACCTCCTCCTTTGGGCTGGGGAAGGAGGAGGAGCCAGGACAGGAGATGGGACGAGCCCTGTTGCCCACCAGGACCCTGAGGTCCTTGTCCCCAGAGCTGCTCCCCACCCTGTGCAGCTCCATGGGCTTGTTCCTCCCAAACCCTTGTCTCCATAGAGGACCCCAGACCCAAACCCAGGGCAGGGGGTCAGTGGGCAGTTACCTGAGCACACCACGCTGGCGTCCTCCACGTGGTTACAGCTGTGATATCCCCACGGCTTGGCCGGACACTCATCCAGGGTGGCTTCTGTCCCCAGGCACCTCACCCCATCCAGCCAGATGGGACCAAATCCTTGGCCAAACCTGGAGAGGCCCAGGGCTGACACGGCTGCCCCACAGCCCAGCTGCCTGCAGACCACGGCCGCGTCCTTCAGGTCCCAACCGTCGTCACAGATTGTCCCCCACTGGTGGCCGTGGAAAATCTCCACCCTCCCGGCGCAGCGGTTGGGGCCGTTCACCAGCCTCAGGGCTTCTGGGCTCTCCTGGTCCTCTTCTACAGAGTCATAGAATCATGGAGTGGGTTGGATGGACCTTCCAGGTCATCTAGATCCAACCCCCTGCATGGGCAGGGACACCTCCCACCAGCCCAGGCTGCTCCAAGCCCCATCCAACCTGCCCTTGGACACCTCCAGGGTTGGAGGAACCACCTTGAAGATCATCTAGTGGATCATCCAGGTGGTCTCTAAGGTCCCTTCCAACCCAAACCATTCCATGATCTAACGATCATCCAGTCCCACCCATTTCCATGGGCAGGGACACCTCCCACCAGCCCAGGTTGCTTCAAGCTCCATCCAAGCTGGACTTCCAGGGATGGGGCAGCCACGACTTCCAGGAGCAACCTTGGTGTGTGTCTCACCATCCTCATAGTGAAGAACTTCATTGAATGGAACGGTTTGGGGTGGAAGAGACCTTAAAGGCTACTTAGATCCAACCCCCCTGCATGGGCAGGGACACCTCCCACCAGCCCAGGCTGCTCAGATCACCCAGGAGGTCCCATGACATGAGGATCCTCACAGAACCAGGAGGCACCAAGAGCACCTGAGCAAGGAGGAGCTGGATGAGCAGAAGGGACTCCCCAGGGAGTAGAGGCTGGGTGGTGGAACAGGTCAAAAAAACCACCAACCCCACAGGGGCAACTTCCATCTCAGGACTCTTCATGTGGGATGAAAAACCCAACGTTTTCCACGCTTGGGATTTCTGGGAATCTCAGGCTTGGAATCTCCAAGCCCTTTGCCTGGGGCAGGACAGGGACCAGGAGACCTCAAAAGGGAAACCACCTCGTGGGGCCACAAGGAAACCACCTCGTTCTCCCTGGTGGGACCACAGGAACTGGCTTGGGAACCACCTCCGGTGGTTGAGGCAGGACAAGGAGGGGTTGGGTGGGAATTTGGGTGCCCCCCCTGCCCCGGGGTGTAGGAGGACCCATCCCCACCCACCACCCCTGACCTGTGAGCGCTGAGCAGGTGACACCTGCGTGTCCCTTGGACTTGCAGCCCTTGCTGCCCCACAGCTTGACCTTGCACTCGAAGAGAGCCTTCTCCGTCCCGCCGCACTCCACGGCGTCCACCCAGATGGGACCATCCCCCATCCCAAACCGGGGGGACCCCTCAGCTGAACGGGCTGCCCCACAGCCCAGCTGCTCACACACCACCTGGGCTTCAGCCAGGTCCCACCCATCGGTGCAGATGCCCCCCCAGATCTGGTCATGGAGCACTTCAAGCCTCCCCGAGCAGGAGTCGGAGCCGTTCACCAGGCGAAGGCTTCCAAGGTCAGCAATCCCTGATCCTACAACAGCAGAGAGGGTGGAAACCTTGAGGAGATGCCTCCTACCCTGGGAAACCTCGGGCTGCCAGCAATGGGGTCCGCAGCAGCAGCCTCAGGGGTCAAGGATGCTCCTAGAAGGCCCTTGAGGTGGGATGGGAAGTGGCCTAAGTGGTGCCCAAGGCTTGATGAGCATGGGCTTGGCCAGAGTGTGGTCGATGGACCTTGTACAGTTTGTCCTCCTAAAGCAGAGGGAATCCCAGAATCCTTCTGGTTGGAAAAGGCCTTTAAGATCATCAAGGCCAAACACAACCCAACTCCACCAACCTTAACCCAACTCCACCAACCACAACTCAACTCTACCCACCATAACCCAACTCTACCCACCATAACCCAACTCTACCCACCATAACCCAGCTCTACCCACCATAACCCAACTCTACCCACCACAACCCAACTCTACCCACCACAACCCAACTCTACCAAGTCCACCACTAAACCATCATCTCCAACCTAAATGTTCCCTGGACAACTCAAGCCTATTTCTTCTTGTCCTGTCACTTGTTCCTTGGGAGAATAAATCCTTCTTTGACAAATAGGTCAAAGTCCAGTCTCCAAGATTGATGTCCTTGTGCCATCTGGGACTCCTGGGACACCTCACCTGTCCTCCAGCTTCTGCTCCTGCAGGTTTTCCTGGAGGATCTTGTAGCCTAACTAGGGTGAGATGCTACCTTCCTGTGCTGGGGCAACCAAATTCAAGGCTGGCTGTCTCCACCATGTTATGGTTTGACTAGATGAACTTCAAGGTTCTTTTCAACCAGAAGGATTCTGTGATCAGTGACACCTGGACATCTTGGTGGCCCTGCCCTGGACTCTCTCCAGTGGTTCCTTGTCCTGGACCAAATTCTGCAGATGAGGCCTCAAAAGAGCAGAGGTGCAAGAGAACCTCCCTGCCGAGCCCACACTCAGTGCCCCCAGGAGCCCATTGGCCTTCTTGGCCACCAGGCCACCCTGCTGGCTCATGGTCGCCCTGTTGCCCACCAGGACCTTGAGGTCCTTGTCCCCAGAGCTGCTCCCCAGCAGGTCCCCCCACCCTGTGCTGCTCCAGGGGCTCGTTCCCCCCCAGATGCAGAACTTCCCCAGCTGCTCAGGCTGAACCTCACGAGGCTCCTCCTGCCCAACCCTCCAGCTCACGGTGGCTTCAGCCACACGACTTTGGGCCAGAAGCTGCTCCTTGATGGACACAACCCCTCCAACCTCCTCCTTTGGGCTGGGAAAGGAGGAGGAGCCAGGACAGGAGGTGGGACGAGCCCTGTTGCCCACCAGGACCCTGAGGTCCTTGTCCCCAGAGCTGCTCCCCACCCTGTGCAGCCCCCTGGGCTCGTTCCTCCCAAACCCTTGTCTCCATAGAGGACACCAGACCCAAACCCCAGGGCAGGGGGACACTGGGCAGGTTACCTGAGCACACCACGCTGGCATCTTCTTGGTGCTCACACTCATAGAGCCCAGAGAGGTCGGAGCTGCAGTGGGAGAGCCCTCCCTCCGTCCCCGAGCAGCGCACGTTGTACAGCCAGACCCGTCCCTGCCCCTGCCCAAACTGAGCCCTCCGGGGGGCTGAGACCACCACCCCGCAGCCCAGCTGCCTGCAGACCACCTTGGCGTCCTGGAAGTCCCAGCTGTCATCGCAGACTGTCCCCCAGCTGCCCCTGAAGAGCATCTCCACCCTCCCAGCGCAGTCACCGGGACCATCCACCAACCGGACCGGGAGGAATTTGGAGACGTCGGAGCCTGGGGACAGGATGGGGGGGCTCAGGGTCCCGTCCCAGCACAAGGACAGGAGGGACAGAGCAGGGGGGGCAGGGGCAGCAAGTGCCACAACCTCACGGAATGGCAGGGGGTGTCACAGAAGTGGAGAATCAATCACGGGGTCAATCACTGGATCAATCACAGGATCAATCACGGAATCAATCACAGGATCAATAACAGGATCCCAGAATCAATCACAGGGTCACAGAATCAATCACAAAATCAATCACAGAATCACTCACTGAATCATGGAATCAATCACAGAATCACGGAATCCATCATGGAATCAATCACAGAATCAACCACAGACTCACTGAATCAATCACAGAATCAATCACTGAATCAGTCACAAAATCAATCACAGGATCACACAATCAATCATGGAATCAATCACAGAATCAACCACAGAATCAATCAGAGAATTACTGAATCAGTCACTGAATCATGAAATCAAACAGAGAACCAATCACGGAATCATGGAATCAATCACGGAATCAATCACAAAATCAATCCCAGAATCCATCCCAGAATCCAACCCCACTCCCTTGTGTCCCAGAGCCCCGGGCCAGACTGCCCAGGGAGGTGGTGGAGCCTCCATCCCTGGAGACATCCCAGCCCATCGGGGTGTGTTCCTGTGGGACCTGCTGGGGGTGACCCTGCTCTCCAGGGGGCTGCACTGGGGGGTCTCCAGAGGTCCCTGCCACCCTCCCTATACTGGGATTCTACAGACACTTCCAGTCTTCCCAGTATCAACCAGACTCATCTCAACCCCCACTCCCATTCCAATCAGACCCCCCAGTATATCCCAGTCCCTCCCAGTATGAACCCCCTCACCTCTCTGTGCTCCACCTCCTCCATCACAACCACAACCTCCCAGCACATCCCAGTCCCTCCCATCTCAATGACTTCCCTAATTTCAACCAGACCCCCCCCAGTATATCCCAGTATCACCAGTATTCCCCAGTCCCTCCCAGTATCAACCAGACTCATCCCACCCCCACTCCCATTCCAACCAGACCCCACCAGTATTCCCCAGTCCCTCCCAGTATCAACCAGACTCATCTCACCCCCACTCCCATTCCAACCTGCGTGTTCCTGTGGGACCTGCTGGGGGTGACCCTGCTCTCCAGGGGGGTTGGACTGGGGGGTCTCCAGAGGTCCCTGCCAACCCCCCCACCCCGTGCCACCCACCTGAGCACACCACGCTGGCACGACCCCCACGCTCACAGCTGCCCTGTCCCCACGGGCTGGCTGGACATTCCCTCAGGGTCCCCTCAGTCCCTCGGCAATTCACGTTGTCCAACCAGACACGGGAAGGTCCGGAGCCGAAGTCCGTCCCCTTGGGAGCCCCCAGGGCTGTCCCACAGCCCAGCTCCCTGCAGACCACCTGGGCGTCCTGCTGGTCCCAGCCCTGCCGGCAGATGGAGCCCCACTCCCCGTGGTGCAGAACCTCCACCCGCCCCGCGCAGCGGTGGGACCCGTTGGCCAAACGGAGCTGGGACACCTCAGGGACAATGGAGTCTGTGAGGAGAGACAAGGAGGGGATGGTTTGAGGTGGAGGAGTCCTAAAGATCATCTACATCCAACCCCCTGCATGGGCAGGGACACCTCCCACCAGCCCAGGCTGCTCCAAGCCCCATCCAACCTGCCCTTCAACACTGCCAGGGAT